CAATGTATTGCTTAGTTGACACACTTCTGAGTGACCAAAGAAAAGAGAAGAAAAGACTATGACTGCTACTTCCCCTTGGCTTTAACCCTTTGAGTCCCTGACATCCAAGACTATTTTAAAAAGTGTTTGTTCATTTACTGTAATCCTTCTCAGTTAAAGCTGCAGAAGAGAGGATCATTCAATGACATTGCAAGGTCTGTCCATTATGGAGATGGGTTGGTTACTGATAGGAATTACTAACTGATGCAGTTGCTAAACATTCAATGTCCTCTGAACCATCATTATTTGTGGCCTATAAGCGAGAGAGAGAGGGAGGGAGGGAGAGGGAATTCCTGAAACAATTCCCTTGCTTTCAAAGCGGTAAACTTGAATCTTGGCTAAATATGAATATCTCAACATGCATATTGAAAAGTCCTCAACTTATCCTTATTTCAAGAAGTGGACGTGGCTCATAAAATGTTAGCATTTTGATTACTGTATGGCTTCATTTGTAAGTGATCACTGAACTGTATAATCAGAAGATTTAGTGATATGTTTATTCCATTTTAGCAAGGCACCGGTCTTTATCAATTGAGATGCATTATTGATGTGTTTGCACCACATATCACTAAGTTGTATGTCAGTGTTTTGTTTTTACAGTATAATGTGTTCCAACATCAGTAGGAAAAAACCCCACCTTGATCTGTTTAATTTCATTTTTGAAGAATTCGTCACTTCATATTACAGTACCAGACTCCTACTGACAAGTCATGGCTAAAGGACTTACAATGATATATTGATCTGTCTGCCAAATTTCTGAATCATTTATAACTTTTTGATTGTGCTTAGCTTGTAAAACTTTTTTAACCTACCAAGTACGGCAGCTATCAGTTATACAAGGGCGGGTTTAACACCTAGGAGTTAGTCACACGGCAATTTTTGATTCCATTTTTTTCTTCCTGCAAATGTTACATCCCTATTGCAGGGGATGGATAGATAGATAGATAGATAGATAGATAGATAGATAGATAGATAGATAGATAGATAGATAGATAGATATCTGACAACACAAGTATATCTTTCTGAAATAATATATGTGGCTATAATATTTCTTTTAGGTGTTGCTATAAGGAGCAACTGCTAAGTGTATGGATGAAGTTGTCCATATGGCTGCATATTCATTACTTTTAATGTATTATGAAAACACAATATTAAAGATTATGCATCTTTCCCATATGCTAATGGATTTCTCCTATCTGCTATTACTGGCTCATCCATATAGTATGGCAAACAAGAAGAACCATAGTGGAAATGTGCAGAATATTGGAGATAGCAAAGCAGCAACAAAGAGACCCAGAACTGAAGGCATGAAAAAGTGTACAAGGGAAATTCAACATTATGATCTTCCAGAATGTCATATGTGTTAGCCGCAATGGCTTCATGAGTAGGTAAACTGGGTAACTGCTCAGGACTTCAGACTTGAGGGTCCCCCTCATATGGGCATAATTTCAGTAAATTAAAAAAAAAGAAAAGAAAGAAACCTGGGATAGATAGATAATATTAGACAGAGACTATTTCTAGCAAGTAAATTCTCAATATTTTTTCCCTTTCAGAATACCCAGATCTCTCCAGTAAAGGGAACAAGAGTATCAAAGGCAAACAATCAGTGAGGTGCCCTAGTTAACTTTCTTAATATCATGTGCTCAAAAAAGGGAAAAGCCTTATAAAAAATCAGTCTTCTGTATGGGCTCTTTATGACCCTCTTTTCCAGGATTCCAACAATTCCCAAGACCACCACTGCATCTTAGGGTATTTCTTATGAATGCAGAAGTCAAAGGAGATGTGTAGCTGTAGGTAGCAACCAGAAAAGAAGAGAAATAGTTTATGGAACAGGAATACATCTGTTTGAAGCATTATCTTGTCTTAATGGCTTTCAGAATGATATATGTAGTCCACCTTTCCTTACGCTCTTAAAGCAGAGAGATTTCGATGTGACATTATTTCATGTCCCTGTGTTACAAGGTTTGTAGCTGTATGAGCTACTCAAGGATCCCTGCAGAGCAATCTGGAGAACTGTGGCATTTTTTTCTTTTTTCTTCCCATCCTGAGTTTATTTAAGACATAAAAATATTATGTGGGGATGGGGGTAGGACTATCTCTTTCCAGAGTTGTCCTTAACCTTTAATAAGAGTGGATACCCCTCCCTGAGCAAAATTAAATAAATTCTGATTTCTAGAATGGTTAATAATCCATAGATCCCCATGCATACTTTGCACTTACTCTCAGACTGGACAATAGTTTTCTTTGGAGCCAAAATGAGTTCCATTAAGTTTAAATTAAAGTCTGTTGATAAGGGCAATGGGGGGAAAAGCATTCATTACCTTGGCAACTTTCCAAGCCTTTAAAATGTTTTGGAGGGGAGGAAAACACATCCTACCAAACCCTGGAGAAAAGATTAAATAATCATGGAAATGTATTATTTAACTAGTTCAGCTAATATACTCTGGGCTGTTCAACAACAATCAACAATCAATGATCTTGCTACCTGCCATTTCTTTTGACTACATCTTAAAACTGACTTACTATCATATATAAATGAAAAATGGCATCAACAATGAATGGCAGAAATTTAAAAAGCTGCTGCAAATTAATATTTATTTGGGTATTTATTAAGCAATTAGGATTGGAGAATGGAAGACAAGTGAAAAGACAGATGGACAGAAATAAAAAAAAACAATTCACTTTTTTTAAACTTGGATTTCTCCATGACAGTGACAGATTTTTATAAGATTGAAATCTATATCTGACTTGAAAATGCATCTATCAAAAGTTGCAGATTACCCAATAAGCTGGGCTATTCATCCCATTTTCAGAAATAACACAGTGAATTGCCTTCATGCAGATATGTTCTCAAATAGCAACATAATGTGTATTAAAATCCTAACTCTTCTTCGATTTAGCAGATGGACAGGTCTGCCACATGAGCAACACCGAATCATCTTGATGGGTCAAACCAATATCTATCTAATCCAAGATTTTGCTACAATACCAGCAAGCTAGATACCACTAGATGATCAAATGCTGCACTTGAAGCTGGTTGCTACACCCAGATCTGATTATCAAAAATATACTGATTCTGCAAATGAACATTCACTTAGTTGTCAAGGTCAATAGTTGTCAATTGTCCATTAATTTATGAAACACTGAACTAAGAGGCACTGATAGTGAATCATATAAGCAAATAATAATTTGGAGAAATACTTCTACTATTTTTATTTAATTAGGTGACGCCTGTCCTCTAAATTTATTATTATGAAGGAAAGAAAAGAGACCTCTCTATTCACAGATCCACACTAGGGCTGGCAAAACCCCTGTGAAGAAACCAAGCATCCTTCTGAACCTGCTGCTTGAAGCAGTGAGGCACTGGTCCTCCTGAAAGTTCAGCTCGGGATCTTTCAAGGGTCTTCCCACATTGTCTGCATATTTATGTGCATGTAGAGAAGAGAGGTTTGCTGGAATTGGCATGTCAAACAGTAGATTCATTTGGGTACTTTGTTCATTTCATATAGTGTACCCCTCTGAATGGTCAACTTAAAGTTTATGAAACCAAGAAACTCCAGTCCCTTTAGAGGCATGTTAGTGCCTTTTCCAATTCCATGACATTCTTTTAAACATAATGATCCCTTTTCTGATAATGGCTAACAATAATGAAGTCTAATTATTAATTAGAGTAATAAAGTATGAAGTATGAAAGTAAAGTTTCTTTACTTTCATTCCATTCATTTCCTATGATTTTTCTATCACAGCATCTACATCTGTTTTGGAATAGAGAATTTAGACCCTGCCCAGAGTCTATTTGGATTGGAGCAGGCTATAAACATTGTATAATAAAAATAAATTAAATATATTAAGTAAATAAATTAAATACGTTAGGATATACAACTACCATGTTTCATGCATTTATAACAGTAGGATGTAAATGATTTTTGTATTACAGTGAATTGGTCATCACCTGCTCAATGTAGGAGGCAAGGATTATCTAAACTTGGCTTTTTCAGTCAGTCCTTTTTCAATTCTTTATTACAGTCAGTGATCAGTATTACATTTAGAAAAGGATAAAGGCTAAGATATACTGGATAAATTAAACCAAAATATTATAAAATAAAATTTGGTAAAAACAATAATAAAATAAACAGCCATGTTTAAACGATCAATGTAATTGATGGCAATACATTTTACAGAATTTATAGAATAAAACAAAATTTGACCAACGAAACTGAATTATACTGATCAGCTAACAATAATTGTTCATAAAATAGATTTGTATGCTAATCTATTACCATAATAAAGATTTTATTTGATGATCTGAAAATTTAGTTAATAAAGGGGTTATAAAATGTAACCATGCATCTTTACAGAATGAACAGTAAAGTAATATACGTGTTGTGTGTTCCACCATCCCTTTACCACAAGGACACTCTTGAAGAATAGGGGATTTTCCTAAAACCTCCTTCAAGTACAGCTCTTGGTAGTGCATTAAAACAAGCTAAGGTTAATCTAAGTTTCCCAAGAACCTTAAGGTTTCTAGATTTGGGAACAGTTATCTGATCTAGATAACTTGCTGGTCTAAAATGAGAATGACTACTCAAAAACGTATCTCTAGGAAGAGCTGACAAATCTAGTTGGGTATCTATACCTGACACATGTTGTTTTAAATTATCCACCACCTTTTTGTAACCCATTATCAGTAATATGCCCCATGAGAGGCTATAGCTCTGTAATTTTTGATGAATTGATCTCCAAACTGATTCAAAATTATCCACATGAATTAAGGGGTTGGGTTTCTCCTCCTGCCTCCTGTTATTCATGCAGGTATGTATATTTATTGAGATAGTGAAAATCCGTACTCTAGACTGTTGTGTTTTCTTGACTGTGATCACAAGTTATTCTAGGCAGAAAAAATAGATGCAATGAATCTCTCAAGTTTCAGAACAGGAAATTCATATTTATTTCATGTTTACCTGCTGATGTTTGCACAATATCAGAAGTATTTCTGAGTCCCATGAAGTCAAACTGATAGAGTCTCCAAGATTGCTGATCTGCAGCTTCTACTGAGTTTTTTCTCCATCTGTAAATCATTTCTTCTTGTGGATAGCCATCTGTAAATTAAAAATCAGCATCAAATATCTGGTAAACATTTCATAATGTAAAAACTATACACTATTTAACTGAATAAATAGGCTAAAGAAAGAAACATAATGGCTTTTCCGCATTAATGTACTGTATGCAAAGATGCCAAGTTACCTCTACAGGCTAAGAGGATATGAAACATACTGAACATTGGAAAGCATGCTGCTGCTACTGTCTTAAGCAGGCCTTAGGGCATAGTAGTAGTAATAGTAATAGTTCCACCTTCCTCCTCCTCCTCATTGTAATAGTTTTTTTTTTAGGACCATATAAGCCTTTAGACTGGTTATAGGCCTAATTATATGTCCTCTGGAAAACTTATTTATTTATTTATTTAAATTTATAGCTGCCCATCTCACATATGTGACTAGGCAGCTTACAAGTTAAAACAGCAAAAGACAAAACTCATATAAATAAAATTAAACAATTAAAACCAATTAACCAAAGACATAAAAAATGCAGGAGACTGCCACAAACAGTACAGCCATCTCACAGGCTTCCCACCTCGATGAGATCTCCAGGCCTGATTGCACAGCTATGTCTTCAGGGACTTCATAAAGGTCAGGTTGGGGCAAATCTAACCTTAGGGAGAATGATGTTCCAGAAGATGGGTACCATGGTAGTAAATGCTTTCCTCCTGGGTCGCATCAGATGAAACTCCTTTGGGGATGGGACCCATAACATGCCCCTTCTGCCAGATCTGATGGGATGGGTAAATGTAACTGGGGAGAGGTAGTCCCTCAAATAATCCAGCCTCATGCCATGTAGGGCTTTATAGATCATAACCAGCACTTTAAACTGAACCTGGAAGCAAACTGGCAACCAATCCAGCTTGCAGATCAGAGGTATAACATGCACTGATCTTAGTGTGCCCATAACTGCCTGTGCCACTGTATTTTATACCAGCTGTAGCTTCCAGATGTTTTTCAAAGACAGCATCATGTACAGCGCATTACAGTACTCGATCCAGGAGGTGACCAGGACATGAGTGACAGAGAATAGAGTCTCCTGATCCAGGAATGGATACAACTGGCATACAACCTAAAGTTGCACAAAGACACTCCTAGCCACAACTGCCACCTGTTCTTCGAGCAGGAGTCATGAGTCCTAAAGGACCCCAAAGCTGGTAAATTTCCAGTTAAAGCAGCAAGATAATAAATAGAAAATGCATAAATGAATGTTCCCCATATTTTCATTATGAGAAAAGAATGTAAAACAAAATGGAAGCAAGAATAGCATACATGACTCCATCATCACATTAACTGTACTTATCAGTTGCTAGAGATTTTTTGAAGGCTCTGAAGTCAGAGCCCTCTAAGAACATATGGATTACTTTACCCGTTGCCTTAATGGCCCTCAGTTCAGTGTATCTTGCAGATGTGTGCCATTGTAGTATGGATTATTTGCATTAACTCATAAATGATTCCCCTGGTTACAGACATTGGGATCCCCAGCTAAAAAAGATCTTGAATTACAGAGTTGGGAATGAATCCTGCACAAGAGTACCAGGCTACAAACAACCATTGCCTGATTAAGACAGCTTTCTGTAGGATTTTTATGAAGTCCAATCAAATATTTCAAACTTTTCTATGAATTTAAATGCAAGTCTTCACCTTCTCAGCTTTAGCAGGCTACTTCATCTAAATAATAATTGTATACAGTTTTGTACTTTAAATAACTTATCTAGGCTGCAGAAACACTTCTGGAATTTCCAAATTTGTAGACTGTACCTTGTACTCCTTGCTCTAATTACAATTATCTTTATTTTCCTAAAGTGTATATGCAATAATTCACATACATTTTATGAACTCTTGCTATATTTAATTAATCCATTTTCTCAAGTTGCTCTATAGCACAAGAGATGCCCACAAGACATTAATCTGTTATCTCTTAAAATTATTTATAAGTGTCTTTGGTGTGCGGCATTCATTTATTTTCAATCAATATTACAGAGTCACCGTTATCATATTGTAGATTTCTTTCAAGTATGAATCAAAACTATTTATAGTTCATGTTATTAACTGGTAAAAAGGCCAAGAAGATAATTTAGCAGATTATATTAACAGATTTATAGTTTTGCAAATGGGCTTTAAAATATGCATTACAGTATTTATATCTCCCTGAAGAATTTTAGGATTCAAATTCACTTTATTTTCAATGTAGCATCACTTATTTCTACCTTTCCTGCATTAATTGGAACCCCTTAACCTTGTTTATATTTTTTTAGCTCATGAGAGATAATCTGTAAGACTGTATTGAACCATCAGTGGATTTAGAGCTCAAGAATAATCAAATGGAAGTACAAATGTTATGAGCCAAAATCGCTATACAATATTTACATACCAGAATTGTCTGGTAATATTGTCATACAACTGTGATGATGCAAAATGGGAAATCACCATCTTGTAAATAGCATAGGCCACCTGCACTGAATCACAAGACAAACACTTCCATAAGATTTATAACAAGTCATGAGCCTATAGTCATGTGGGTGTTTGGAACAGAAGTACTAAAACTATTAACTGAATTCTTAATTTAGATCAGTGTTTCTCAACCTTGGCAGCTTTAAGATGTATGGATTTTAACTCCTAGAATTCTCCAGCCAGCCATGCTGGCTGGGCAATTCTGGGAGTTGAAATCCACACATTTTAAAGCTGCCAAGGTTGGGAAACACCAATTTAGCTTGATGTAATTGTCAGGATCTTTAGACTTCATATAGTATATCTTGTTACCACCACAGAATAACAGAATATTACAGTATTCATAATAAATTGCCATGCCTCAGCCTCTTCTGAGGCTCTCTGATTGTCAAAACTCATTTTCCATGTAGAAATTCCCCCAGTGTTTCATTGTTGTGTCCTTTCTTTTAGCTTGAAGTCATTATTTGGGGTTTTGCTCACTAAAGCAACATAGAACTAATCTGTTCTATCACCTACACTTCAGTTCTACTAATATTTTAAAATGATTATTACTTCTTCTCCTAATCTCTTTTCTAGGTGAAATATATCTGACTCCTTTAACCTTTTCTTGTATATCTTTTGTCAAAGCCCCTTTGCCTCATTATATACTGTGATATCATGTGGGAACAAATAGAAGAACTTTTCTATTATTCTACCAAGCTAGAGTCAAGCCTTCATTTCTATTTAGCTTTTTATAGGTTGTATTTTTGCTACAAATTTAGTTATTTGAACGTCATGCTTTTTCCCTCTATTGGCCCTAATGGAGAGGTGTGGGGAAAGAATCAATCATTGATAGAGAATAATTAAATGGTGGTTAAATCTGTCAGTGTTCATTCTCCTCAATATTTCACTTTCTCACTTGTTCTGCATCACTTTATAAATTGGGATAATGGGGAGATTTGCATATAACTTTGTATATATTTATATAGAGCAACTTTTCTGTTTCATGTTGTATGCACTTTTAGAACATGTACTTTTTGCAACTTTTCTCTAATATAATATTATGCACTCTTTGTCTTAAAGTGCATATTTTTGTGGGCATTTCTAACTTACAGACTGTGCCACAAAATTCTAAACAGTATCATTTTGGTTTTCACATAGGCTCAGAGAGTGTGAATTGGGTAAATAAACATAAAAATTGGGTATCTTCACTGTTCTTAGGACAAAATGATTAAATATAGTTTTCTTCATCTCTTCATCATCATTCCTGCGCTTTCATGCATACTTTTCTCCCATGGCCACAGTTATTCTTTTAAGTGAGATATAACAGTTAAAGGATAAGGATAAAGGAGCAATCACTGTTCCTGTGCTAGGTCACCTACATAGATGTTGACTTTATTTGACCAAAAGTAGCTTAGGTATAGTGTCCCCTGGGTTTCTATGGCAGATCAAATAGCTATTTTGTCACACGTGTTGGGATCCTATCACACTGATATAATTCAAAAAGAGGTAATGGATGTAGTTCTGAAATCCTGGCATTCTCCCTTCTATTGCAGTTAACTATTATCATACATTATGAACACCAGCATTCTTCCATGGCCAAATATCACAAATTGCGCATTGTTTGTGCTGCTGGCATAATTAGCCTTGTTGTGCCCACAATCCAGCACCACCCAGACTGGAAACAATTATCACACGTGTAGGATTGCCAGGTTTAGTGGGGAATAAGGCTGTTTCCACCAAGTTAAAAATTAAACATTCTGTTAAATATTGTTCACATGCTTTAAAGTATGAAAGGGCTGTGTATACATGCTGTGTAAACAGCTTACAGGAAACCCTTCCCAACATTTCTGTCTCAGTCATAATCAAAGGCTGTGCTGATGAGCTCCTGCCAACCAGTAAAAGCTTGCTGGGCCTGTACCCTGCCTGTGGATTTCATATATTCATTCACAATCATTTCTGATTTCCTGCTGGCAAATGATAGGAGTCTCAACTATTCTTCAGCCAAATGAGGTGGGTGGTCGGTCAAAATGCAAATAGCACAAAATCCTTCCATTATTCTTCTGGCATGTTATTCTTTATGTTTGTTCAGTCCATCAGAGCTAATTCAACTATAAAGGCTGTTCAGAAAATTATTCTTCATGGCAACATATTGCAAGGAGCTTGTAACGTCTGAGACTTCTCTCACTGCGCTAGGTTTCTAGGCCATCCTTGCACAGTCCCGTTTTCCCCTATTTAAAGAAAACATTTTGAAGTAGAAGTTCTCAAGAGGTAGTGACTGTTATTCTTTCTTTGCCTTTCTCATTCTTGATCCTTCCCTTTTGTAGGTGTTGTAACAATTTAATTTGTAGACAAGACTTAGGTTGTGCTTTTTCTTTTTTTTTACTGATACCAACTCAGTGATTTAATAGTCAAGGTAAGGCATTTCCCCTTTCCCAAACCCTTTTCTTTACAAAGTATGATAAATAGATTTCCAGTGTATTCAGGCTCAGTTTTTTAAATGTGCTGGGATCAGCAAAGATCTTGGGAGCACTTTAAAGACAATTGCAGATACAGCAGTATGAGATTTTGAA